CCCACAGGAGGATGGAAACAAATGTTTGGAGGATCAGGATCCTCAAAACAAAATATTCAACAACATACTCATAGCCCTAAAAGACCATCAAGCTTAAAAAACTCTGTAGACCTTACAAATACTCCTGATATATTATTATCAACACCAACACCAATTCAAAATAATCAGCAAATAAGAAATCCAAAACGACTTATAGATAGAAGTAATACTTCATCACCAGTATCATGGCACAAAAACCAAAAAATGTATACACTATCAGTAACGAACTCTGAAAATGAAGAACAAGAGATATCTCAAAATATTGAAAGAGTATTTAATCAAGTTAACCAAAAAGATAATTCAGAATCTCAACAAATACAAATACAATCTTCCTTTAAAGGACGACCCTATACAACATACTTAACACCGGCATGGAATCAACCACTTGAAGTTTATACTGAAAACAAACCACAAAACCAACCACAAACTTCAAAAAATGAAGGAATAAGTGCACCAGCCGATGAAAGTGATAATGAGAGCTTAACTAAAGAACAACAAGAATTTCTAGAAGAAATGGATGAAGAAGTACAAGAACATATAAAAAATAACAATCTTCATATACAATTAAACCATATACACCCTATTAAAAGAAAGAAAATAATACCTACAGTATTATTAGATGCAAAAAAGGATAATCAGATATATAGTGCACAAAATATTGTATTATCAAAACATACAATATTTTCAATTAAAATAAGAAAACCTATAAAAAATGGATATATAGGAACCCCAGAATACTTAGCGAAAAAAGAAATAGCTATTCAACCAGGGATAGCAAATGGGGACTATATACTAATAGCAAACTACTCAGAAAATGAAGTCCAAATAAGTAAAGATCAACTAGAGTTAGTACTTCAATCCGGATATAAATATATCCGAATTGATATTTTGCTAAAAATTTATAGTAAAACATAGTAATATTATCCGGATATAATCCGGATATAAAATAAATCCAGATATAAAAACATAGTAAGGTAGTAACTCTAAGATCAATATATTGGAAATGTTGAAATACTAGAAAAGTCACCAAAATTTTTTCTCAATGAAATTGAAATTCCTAAGAAGAAAGGAATCGATTGGATGAATAAGAGAGAAGCTATTAGAGAACGAATTAAAATCTTGAAGAAAAACTGTGAACCAGAGATATGGAAACAATTAGGCGATATATTAGAAAAATATATCGATTGTTTTAGAGAAAAACCTGAACCAGGAACTAGTGTAAAACCAGAAGTAATCCCAAAAATAGAATTGAAATTAAAAACAACAGAAAGTGAAATACCTGACAGAGATAAATGACAACAAGTTAGAAAATACTCTGAAGAAGAACTAAAAGTCATAAAAAACCTATTAGACAACTTGGTAAAAAATAAAATTGTATACCCAGCACAATCTGAATAGGGTGCGAATGTCTTAGTTATAACTAAGAAAGATGGCACGAAGAAAATAGCCATAGATTATAGGGGTTTAAATAAATATTTAAGGCAATTTAAACAACCTTTACCTGATATACATCAGATGCTGCAGAAAATAGCTGCACACAAAATATATACAACAATGAATTTAAAATCGGCATATTGGCAACTCCTTATACATGAAAATAGCAGAAAATATACTGCTAGTATATTTGGAAAATATGGAACCTATGAGTGGAATAATTTACCCTTTGGGATTAGTACTGCACCTGTATACTTAATAGTGGCAGTAAATAAATTACTGTCTAAATTTGATTGGATTCTACTTTATATGAATGATTTGACTATTGTTGCAAACTCTATTAAAGAAATAAGAGATAGATTAACAAGGACGTTAATAGAACTCGAAAAAGGGGGCCTGAAACTTAAACCCTCTAAATGCGAGTTCTGTGTCAACAAAACAACAATACTCAATCATGAAGTAGAATATAGAAAAATATAGAAAAATGCTTTAAAAAGCAAGGAAGTAGATAAATTCAAGAAACCAACCTCTAAAAAAGAAGTACAACAATTCTTAGGATTCATGAATTACTTCAGACCATACATTTACGACTTTGAAAAAATAGCAGATCCACTTTACAAATTAACAGGAAATAAAGAGTTCCAATAGGATGATAAATGCACAAAAGTATTTGAATGACTTAAGGAAGAAATGAAAAGAGAATTAGCTCTATCATTTCCAGATCCAAAACAACCATTCTTTATGGAATGTGATGCTTCACAAGAAGCCATAGCTGCAATCTTGTATCAAGAAGATTTCGAATAACAACATTATAAAAAAGTATTTAAACAAGAGATGCTCAAAGAGGAACTCAAAGACTATTCCAAACCAATTAAATCAGGAAGACGCATAATAGAAATAGGCTCAGTAGGATTAAACGAATCATAACTCTGTTGGCCTAGTATACAAAGAGAACTATATGCAATATATGTATTCTTAGAAAAATGGAGACACTATATTGGAACACAACAAATACATATTTATACTGATTCAACAGGAATATCATCAACAAAATCAATGAAAAGTTGTACAAATCATACAATGATGAATTGGATTTTACAATTGCAAGAGTATAATTATATAATACACAGGATAGTAGGCGCAGAAAACCATGCTGCAGACTACTTATCACAAGGAACAACCGATGAATTACAACAATTAGAAAAAGAAAAAGAAATATTAAAAGAAGTAAAAAAGGAAGAAAAGGCTAAGCTTCAAAAACAATTAACAAAAATTGAAAAAGCAACTAAAGAAAATGATTTAAGTGATATGGCCAAAATAATCAAAGAAAAATGAAAGCAAGAAATCAAAAAGAAACAAAGATGATTACCCTAATCATTACTACAACTACCAATCACTATCAACACCGATATAAACAGAGTCACCACAAGAATTACGAGATGATACAGAACTATCACTACAGTAACAATTATTAGGAGAAAGACCACAATGGTAACATGAATAAACTGTGAGCTGATTAAAAGAATCTTCCAAATATTCACAAGAATCAAATTCCAGAGATTCGGAATTAGAATACTCAAATTCGACCAAATCAGTTCCATGGTCTAAAAAGGAAACTAAAAAGGAATTAGTAAAATTCGACCAACATGCACCACTGACCAGAGCTGTGAGTTGGACACAGTTAGTCTACTAACTACTCCAGTACGGCAGTGCATGATAATCCAATAAGACTAATCCTTACCCTTAGTGGATTCCATTTGAAAAACTTGATTTATTAAAATCATCATCTGGAGAAAACAAAGATTTATTGTAAAGATCACAGCAAAAATTATCATCATTGACGAATCCGTATGAAGAGCCATCAAAATATTCGGACGAAAATGGTAGATTCTCCGGGACCACTTGGTAATGAGTCGAGAGAAATTCATTATATAATGAACCAATTTCCTCAACTCACCCGTTGCTCCAAAGAAACAGTACAAAAAACTGAAGTACTTCATAACAAGACTCTGTGGCTTCCAAAAGAAATCGATAAAAATCCAACCGTTGATCACAACATTGACAACTATTATCAATATATGACAAATCACTCCTATCGCTGGACGCAGACATAATAGATTACAAATCAGTTGATAAATACGTAACAACAGAGTATTATATGGGACTTCTAAGAAGTATAAATGATATACTAAAACAAACAATATAGTTGAAACAATTTGATGAAAAAGAAATTCAGTAATTAATGAAGCGTTCAAAAGAATATTAAGGATAAGTATTTGAAAGTATAAAAAGGAGCAAAAAGTTGAAAGAAAATTGACGAAAAACACTCCAATATATAATAAACAATATTATAGAAATATACTTCGCTTTTTAGTATTACCCCGGGGCAAACAATAACAACCATTAATAAATAACATAATAGTAAAAATAAATACAACGAAGTTATTCAACTCACGGGTCAAATGAACTGACTAACCTTAGATAGTGTCAAATGAATTGACGCATATTATTGAGTGCGTCATCAAATTACTAATTTATTAGACATAGTAAAAAAAAATAAAAACCTTTCCTTAGCACTCACTCACTCAAATATATTAAATAATAGTAACCGATTGAGTTATTCAACTCACAGGGTGGGTCAAATGAACTGACGCACCCATGTAACAAAAAATATAAAAGGCTCTGAATTTTCCTTGAGTCAGCTCAATTAGTCACTTTGTGACCGATTTACCTTCGACTTCAATTGCTTCCAGAGGTACTTTGACCAAATGAAACCTCCATACATGTAATAATAGTGTTTGTAGGTATGGTATTCAACTCTTTACAGTTAAAATTTTAGCCTAAATGGACCAATATCTGTAGAGATATTCGATTTTTTACGTTTTTGTTTAACTTTTGTAAAAACCTTCTTTATTTGAAAACAACATAAGCGTTTCGAAGAATGCTAACGTACGGTGATCCTTTACAGAAAAACTCACTATGCTAACCTCAAGACATGTAATAACAGAACTTTTAGAGTGGATGATGGACTACTTGAATCTCAATTTTTAGGCAAAACGGACACGAACTCGTGGAGTTATCGCATTTTTTCGAAACGCTTGTGCTCACGTTTTCGAAAGTTTTCCCGAATTTTCAACTGCCTCCGGCAGCACTTTGGCCAAACAAAACCTCCATACATGCAATAACAAAAGTTGTAGGGTGGGTTCTCTTCTATATGTGATTAAATTTTTAGGTCAAACGGAACAATACTCACGGAGATATTCAATTTTTACGTTTAGCCATTCTAGACGAAAATTTGCGAATTTCTGTGATGAAGAGCGATGAAAGACTCATGGTACCCCACCCTGATTTTCACACATTCGGTCTAAACCTATTACTGCGCATTAGCAAGTGTGTTAGAGAACAGTGTGAAATTTTGCTTTCTAGAGTTTGGTTTAGTTTGGTTGTGTATTGACGGAAATATTTAGATTTTTCATTTGTATACTATAGATGTTTTTGTAATTTTGAAATAAAAAATTAATTCTAGTAAGTAATTAATTACCTACTAGAATTTTCTTTGCGTAAAATTAAAATGACTAAAAAACTAGTAACTTCTAAAACCCGTTTTCGAAAATTTACTTTTACTTTATATGAAAGGCTTGACACTATTTATAAACACATTGATAAAATTTTTAAAAAAAAATCATGTCATTTTTCAAGAATGAAACTTCAACTTGAACTAAATCGTAATCCTTCAAACCCTGGGCGTTATCATGGTCAAGGCTTTGCTAAACTTAGAAAAGGCAAACAATTGGAAGTTGGTCATTATGATTCCAGTACTAAGGAGGGTGCTGGGATAAAAAACATATTTCAAGCAAATCTTCATCTAGATTATGCTAATGGAACCGATGAACAAAACTTGGCATATACTGGAAAAGATTATGATAGATGTAAAAATCCAGATCACCAACCATGCAAATGTGATTTTTTTGATCTTTCCAAAATATGCAAAAAGTGTAATAAGTCTTGTGAAAGACCATTTGCTCGAATTAGTAAAGATACTAAAATTGCTGGTCCTTGGGAATGGATTTTTGATGAATCTAAATATACTTTGGATTCAGAAGACGAAGAAGTTCAAACAAACCCTTATGATATAGCAACTGAAGAAGTATTAAAAGGAGAAGATATTGATAAAGTAATTATTAAATATGCACCTTCTTGTAAAAAGTGGTCACAAACACCTCAAGGATTAGAAAGAATTGCTAAAGCTATTAAGAAGCGAAAAATTAATCCTTTAAAAAATATTAAACGATTTTGGGAGCCATGTATAATCTATATCTATGGAGATACTGGAACAGGAAAAAGTGAACTTTGCAAAGATTTATTTCCCGGAATGTATGAAAAAGATGATATTAAGCAATTTGAAGAATATAATAATGATGAATTTAATTATAACCGTGATAATGCAATTTTGTTAGATGATTTTTATGGATCAAATATTACATGGACAAATTTTTTAAGATTAACTGATCGTAATCATTGTCGAATGGATGTCAAATATGGAAAAACACATATTGTAGCTATGTATATTTGTATAACAGCAAATGGCCCAATTGAAAACCTTTATAAAAAATTACGCGAATCTAATTCTTCTATTAATATTGATGCATTTATTCGAAGAGTTAGATTTATAATAAAATTTGAAGGCAATCCTATAGATACAAATATTGGAAAAGGAGATGTTATACGTATTTTTGAAAAAGGAAATAAGCAAGACTTTAATAATCGAATATTTGATATTGAATTTAATAAAGGAACAACTTTAGAACAGGCTAAAGAAGTTACTACAGATTTAGGAACTAATGGAACAATATTACATGATCTTGCAACGGGATTGTATTATTGGAGACAAAATTGGACAAATGAAATAAATAAATATTCTACTACTAAAAATATTGATGATATTACTGATCAAATTATAACTAATATCCCTAAATCAAAGCCTGGAGAACGAGTAATAGCCTTTTTAAGTAATAAAAACTACCAAAATACAGAAAGAAAAATTAATACAGTTGAGGCTATATCATCAAAAAAGCAAAACCAAAATGATAATTTAATTGAAGAACCAGATTTACAAGCTGAATTGTCTGGATACAATTCATCTTTCTCTGCTTATAGTAGTGATGATTCTGAATATACAAAAAATCAAAAAAGAAAAAGCAA